ATGCTACTGCGAATTCGAAAAATGCGTTGCATTAACCACGAAAGGGTTATCAACCGAAAACTCATCAAATGCTTCGATATTGTGGTTGGGATTATGCTCATAGAATATCTTTACCCAAAATGGGTTCCCAATCGGTTTTGTGTAAAAAAAACCACGCAGTGACAGTAAGATAGTGGGTTCCCAATCGGTTTTGTGTAAAAAAACCACGCAGTGACAGTAAGATATCGGAGGATGTCAGTTGAAGAAAAACTGCTTATATATTCCCCCACCCAAAATGCTCCTGTCGCCGATTTAATTTCAGGAAGTCCGACAACAACAGGGTGGCCCATAAAGTAGTGAACAAAATTTGAATGATTATTGAGAGGCTGGCCAAGATAACCTAACCTAAATCTCTTTGACTCTAGACGTATAAATGTGGCTACCCAGAACACAAACTAAGTGTTTGGCAGTTACTCAGAAGACAAACAGGATGAACAAGCCGCTGAAGAAGTCTCTGTAATCAGCGGTTTCTCTTTTAAGATGAAAAAAAATCAGTTTTGAGCATAGCTTAAGAACAAGTGCTCTAGTGGTATACCAGCTATCCCAACGTGAATAGAAAATTCCAAAGAAGCTAAAATGGTTTAGTATACTATCATTGGGGTGATCTGTGTGTACAACAGTGCTTTGTCACTGTGTTACTTATGTCATGCAAGCAAGCTGCCAACAAATGACCTCTAGTACGTTATTTTGATATCTGAATCACAAGAACCAAAATGAAGCCATTACTATCGTTGATTCGGCAGTCATCATCTTGGCCTGCTGACCGTTGAAGAGGCTATAAGTGACTTCACCCAATTTTACCAAAAGCTCTGAGGCGTATGTATGCCACTGTCCTTTGTATGTCCATGAACGCTTTTTTGGATGCGGTGAGATTACGACAGACGGAAAGCAGTATGTGCCTACGTAGCCATTAGAATCATTACACTGGTTGGAAATGACTAGTTGACTGATTGTAGATAATTGTTGTATAATAAGCATAATCCCAGCATCTTTAGCATACGATCAGAATGCAGGCAAAATCTGCAAAGTACATTCTGACCAAACTTGCAATCTTCAGATAGGTTGGTTACTGTTCGTGAAAACTTGTCACTTGGTTAGTCAGCTTAGTTCACCCTTGAAATCTCTTTTGTTCCACACAGTCTAAGTTCTTAGAAGACTGGCGTTGTGAAAATTCACACACTGTACGCAAATACATTCGGTCCAAATGAGTTGACCTAAAGAGGTGCTCTCAGTGTACTCTGCTAAGAGTGAAATTTGGAAAGCATAACAGTCTATTCATCTGATATATTGCTTGCCACAATCTCAAGTGGTTAAGTAGACTGCTCTGTCTTCTATGAGCCCCCAGCTTTTCTGTTCGCACAGATGTGGATGAGGTTAATATTACTGGGAAACGCGTGACAAAACCTTACTACTTGGAATGCAGTTTGTGAGCGAATATATTGTCAGAAAATATTTAATCAGGACTACTACCCTTGCAGTCATATCAAACAAGGTTGATTTTTTTCAAATAGGTTTACATTCAGTGTTTAATTTACGAATACCACAAAGGCATAGTCATGTGTATGAGAAATTGGTGGCGGATTATTATAATTACTGGTTCCAATTTCATTTGGTTGACTAACGGAGCACCTGTCAGGTGTACGGTAGAAGATGAGTCTGGGTGTCCTTATACTGCTAGATGTGATTAATAAGCAGTATGGAAGTGTATGTGCAAATTGGAATCAGCTACGGCCATGCGTTTTCATGGTCAAACTCATATAGACCCACATTAGAATTGTGTTTTGTTTCACTAGGTTATACTCCTGAAATGCACGAGTTCTAGGGATTGTCCGCCTGGTTATTCCTCCATCAAAGAGTAATATGTTTTTAACCCACTTCGCACTGTTTTCGCGTGGTAGGACAATTGTAGGAGCTGTCTCATACATGTGATCCTTCACCTACGGATTACCAAATTGAAATCACGAAAAATTCCTTATTCTGTATGAATTCGTGTCACACGCCTAGAAGAATGAAGAGCTGCAACGAAATAGTGGCGGAAAAATCCACGGAATCACCGGTAACAAAAATAGCGTAATATTCATGGTGGAACCTACTTATGAAACTTTGAGTGACAGCTTTCACACGATGTGATTATGAAACTTTGAGTGACAGCTTTCACACAAATAATTTAACGACAGAATCAAGACTTAATTAAGGATTTCTACGATGTGACTCCAGAAATGGCGCCACAAGATAAGCCATGTCTACTTCAGTTTGTCAAAGTGATCCTGAAAAGTGGGTTGCAATGACTATACGAAGGGACATCACTGATGAAGAATAAGAAACATTGAGCTCCCGGTCACAAAACTACCGAACTCAGGGGAGAATGTTGTAACAGTTGAGAAGACTAGTATGCGTGCCTTTTACATCACTGTACTTCTGGCAGTCTTCTTCCCTAGAATAACTTCAGACAACACCTAGGTCAGTGATGAGAATCGATTAAAATGTCCTGATTGACCTTCGTGGACGACTGGATAAACGATTTTCATCGTCCTCAAAATCTGAATCGTAGGTGGTTATATTTTACATCAGGTTTTTCCCCGATCTCCTTTTGTCCCCATCTTTTCGTTAGGAAAAGTGAAACGCATATTCACAGCTAACCACACTAGCGAGCTGGAGAGGAGAGAGCAATAGAAAAACATATTATGGACGGTTTTGCGAAGTTAGCTGGAAACAAACATAGTCCGTTTGAGGGAAAATGACGTTTTGGCAAGTGACTATGATGAAACCTTTTGGCGTCATACGCCACTGATCTAAAGGATGCATGTCTCCTTCGTGGGATGCATACCGCTTACGAGTCCAAATAGGGACGAAATGGATGTACATTGCATCTCGGCCTTTTGGCGTACACTGAATTCACTCATAGAACGAAATCTCCACTGAGTAAGCACTTTTGTGGGGACCAGTGTAATCACTGTCGAACCAAACCCTCTGAAGGCCACTCATCTATTCGGGTAAAGCAAATGGTGTTTTTCCATGGTGGCTTACAAGAGTCATTTGCCGTTGTTAACATGTCTGAGGTGTATGCAAAACCTTCTACATCAATACGGAAAGACCAGTTTTATTGCGAAATGAAATTTCGTCTCCTGGCACGGCTGTTTCAGACTTATCGGGGTCCACAGTAGTGCGCATCTTATAAATCTCCGGAGCAAGCCAAACCCACAATCCTTCTGTTAGTAGTTGGACACCACTCATTCGGTTACGAGCTGCTTATTGGTTCTGCCGGCTCACATTTAGCGGAATATAATGTCGTTTTTATGTCATCATATCGCTTTTCCCTTCAAAATCTGGTCACCTGTGTAAGATTGAATCTGTAGATTGTCCGATAAGATGAATCTAGTTGGCTGAATAATGTTTTCCCAATCAAAACCAATTTTATGTTTTGATAGAACCAGCCTGGGCTTTTAGGCACGTTCAGGTTTTATTTTATATCTGAGCCAATTGACCCCGAATTCACATTTTTCTATACATTCGGGAAACCTACGTGACATTCACGCAACACCACTTTTGTTTGCTCAAAAGTGTCAATTTAAGCACGTGGGTGATATGCCACGTTTTTCTCAGTCGGCAGTCTCTATTTGCGCCCATATGTAAAAGTTTCTTTTCGGAAAAGTGCGTGAGGATTCGAAAATTTAAACAACTGAGCTAGATAGATTGAAATCACATCAAGGAGTACAACAGTTGAGAATCCACTTCAATTGATTTCTTAGGGATGCCAACCAGGTTAATCTTTTCCAAAAGGCAAAACTGATTAAGATTGATTTTTGATTTAATTGTTCTGCTACGTCACAATAGAATTCAATGGTTGTAACACTCCGTTTTCACTAGTTTCCTGCTCCGAATATTACAACCAACAACTCCTTGCATTTTCCACTTGGCCAGACAATGAATATTCTACCTCAAACTTCCACACTTTCCGCTGGAGTGGCCGAATATTACAACCAACAACTCCTTGCGTTTTCCACTTGGCCAGACAACGAATATTCTGCCTCAAACTTCCACACTTTCCAGCTGAAGTGACGGGTGAATTAGACTAGGTTGATGTGTGTCTGAACATACGAACGAAGTTTCTTTAGGTAATGAGACTCCGACTAGTGATACTAGATCGGAGACGTCCGACTGTGAACTAAGCACCTTTGTTTTCGGCCGCCAGTTATCTGTCGGGACAAAGCCACCGTCGAAATCCCCAATAATACCTTAACAATGCTCAACAGTAGCACAGATTGGCAATCGTTCTCGTACACTAAGTACATTCAGAAGAACACGGTTCAATAATCATAGAGCTGAATGTATAATACGTACTCCAGTATAAAGTTCGAAGCTTGATTGTCAGCCTGATATAAATATTTTTGCCAACCGCAGGTTTGCCTCCGTTCCTAAGATTATGAGAAAATATCAGCTGATAACGTTTTCCAAAAGATATCTCCTAATGGGGTTTCACAGCTTTTTTTAACTGAATTTAATGGTGGCTGGGTAACTTACAGAAGTATTTACTTATCACGATACACAAAGAATGATGTATCAGAGTTACTTCCTAAGTGTCTGGATAAAGGTGAGTTTATCGAGGGCTAATATGTTGAACGAATGCAAGTCACGTGTGTTTGTCTTCAATATGATAGGAGTGTAATGGATTGCGCCCAATAACAGATAGACACCTAGGTTCAACATATGGTTAATTTGCATTTGGTTTTGACAGCCAGACGAGAGGTCTTCTACTGCCTCTCAAAAATATATTCTATTACACTGCGCTTTTTTGTATGTGCTCCTAGGCAAACGTTTCGCCGATGGCCAAAAACGCAAATAGCTTGTTAGCTTGAAGAAAAATGCAATTTTTCCATATGACTGAATCACCAAATGCAGAGGTGTAACATCGTTTTGTTAATAAAACCTTCACCGAGTTGTTTTCTGTAACTTACTTTCAGTTCAACCGGTTGAGAATATATCCAAGGCGACAGGAGTAAGTCACACGATTGGGTATTTCTTTTTCATATACTTAGTTGGTGGATTAATCCATAAATTAATGACCATATGTGGTGAATTTACAGTCATTTTGAGTCCGCTTACGTTGTTGCTGAAGATTCAGTTGATAAAAAAGTGAATAACTTAAGTGCGGATGAAACGATGTTGACTTCAAAGAGGATTAATTTGAAAGCTCACGCGGTACATCTTTTCACTTGTTCGCAAAGGGGAACTTGGGCAAAGGTCCTTGGAAAGATCGAGTGGCCATTTACGCAACCATTCTGTTGAAATATGAAACAAATGGGCCCTCACAGATTGGCAATTTTTGGTGAAAATCATCTAGCCATTCAAGCAGGTCGTTATGCAGACCGGTGTCCCCGATAAAGTGGCTAACGAATCGAAGAGATCTGATAGCGTTTTCTACATTGTTATTTTCATCATATGGGTATTGTTAGTCGATACATTCAAGATCAATTGGTCTCGCTTTCGTCTTCAGTATCAACGGTTTCGAATGTAGGAATCACAAGGGTGCGGAAGCCAATTCTGCCGCTTTTATTCACCGTTCTTTATTTGCCTTGCAGCGTGAGGTATAAACCAGAGGTTATAATTCGGGGCCTCCCGTCCTAGCATGGAAATCAAATTGCACTCAAAGTAATGTAGAACATTTACTGGGATCCAAGAACAAGAAAAGAGCCGCACAACCTGTTATTTATCTGCATCACGCTAGTGTGGCTGAACATCACTTAAACAACTAGCAACAAGCGAATCAAGTGAGTGCTTGCATGCTCAAATAGAGGCACAACAAGGCCAGTTCATTTGATCAGTGGGCCCATTTCTCACTCATTGGTAATCACAACAACAATTACTAAGAACCCATGTCATCGGACTACGTGTATTCTGCTGGGCCAGGCACAAATGTTACAGTAGTGTCAATATCCTTAAGCATCTGCTTAAGTAAACTAATTGTGATAGTTTTCACAAGTGTTTTTTGAGTTCAGAGTGATGCTACGAATCAGGTGGGCACTTTCCCCTATTTTCATTTTATTGATAAAAATGGCTGCATGGCTGCATAGCCACCTCAGCTTTCTTTCTGTGATGGTGAGAACAAATGGATCTGTCCTTCAACTAACTCTATCAGCACATAAACAGTAGTCGAATAGTTCTGATTAAAGGTGAAACAAGGCGGTGACCATGGGACACTTAATTTAAATAGGTTGTTTGCAAATTGTTTTCTGGGGCGGCCGTGTTTAGCCTCCGTCGAGGGTGCTTATACTAGTAGCCATAAACGGAGCAGAAATAATTTATAAAGCTGAATCGGCTGTTACTTCAAATAAAAACTTGGATCTCGGACAAGACCGAGCTGACTGGCTCCCCAGTACATGATTCCGCAGTGTGCTCGTATAAGTACCTCAATTCCATGAAGTTATTCTGTCATTGCAATTCCACATTATTGTAGTCTCCCACTGTGCATTCACACCCAGCATGAAATACAGTTTTATTACCATTTAGGAAGCCCACATAGCTTGGTCGAAATCTGTAACTATCCAAACAAGACTGTATGGAGCCGGCTGATCATAAGCAAAACAGTTGGCGGTACAGTTAGCCGAATAGTTATCCCCAGTCCGAGGTGTAGGATTACTCGAGCAACCCAAGTAGACCACTGTTTGCTGTCAGTTGCTGATTCACTCTGCAGCGAATAGAAAACAGAAGTATGCATTTAGCCATTTTATTAAGCGTTTAATGCGATCATACAAATTTGTCTTACTGGACGAAATTATATTCATTAGTCAGACTATTTAATAATTCTTTTTGAGGATCATTTTGTTACCATAGCATGGACCACTGAGATGGGTCATTTGTGTACGATTGTGGCACACTTCCATAACTGGCTGAAAGTTCACTTTCTTTTCAGCTTATGTAGCGCGTCTGCGGGTCAACCAGAAAGCCAAAGTTGAACACATCAGCATTTTGCAAACAGATGAATCACCTGTGTGTGATATCCTCTGGTCAAATGAGTATCACAGCAGCCACTACGGGATTTTATGAGCCTATTTTCAGGATGCCAAACTGCTTTGCTTCATTAGCAAGATCGGTGTTAGCTGATATGACGAAACAATTTTCGGGGGCAAAATCTTTAGATCTTGTTCAATGGCAGTTCAAAAATGAACATCAAAGTAAACTGTAAATTGTTTAGCTGACTATAGAACAAAACTCTAAAAATAAAATCCACTATGACATCCTCCGGCATGGAATCAAAAATAAAAATCTCGAAGAGCCTTCTTCTCTGCGGAGATTGGTATGTGTAGGGTAGACCACTCAGTGCTTGTTCAGCTGGAGCGTTCTGTATGAATGATAATCCACAGAAAGTATTTCCGCTACTCGTACGACTTTGAACTGTTTGTTTGGCGAATTTTTAAAGAATAAAAATAAACTTTTTCGAAGTTCATTTGTATGAGTCCACAAGCATCATATTGACCAAGGAAAACAGTATTTCCGTACTTGTCATCCGTTAGGTGTAAACTTAGCTTGTTTACATAGCACTTTCTTGAGCACCATATAAGACACAAGATTAGATCATCACATTAAGTCACCGAATGCAGTCAGTCAACGTTCGTTGCAAACGTTTGTAGATACGGGTCTATTATTCTGCACAATTCCAAGACTTTAGCACACGTTCGCCCGTGCATCAATTTGATGAAAAGTCAGCTCAGATATACTGTGAAGCACAAGCCTGCTGACTGTGGACGGAGAGCAGCTGTTGGACGTGCAAACAACGAAATTTGTGGAAAACTTACTTCGTATCATTCCGTAATTAGCCCGCTGGTAAATATCTTATGGCCTTTATCACGGTGTGCACGGTGTGATAAACCAGTGTGCAGATGTTGAAAGGAAGCTCCAATGAATTTGCTACCTTTCACACGTATATCCGGTTAATGGTGCCATACAATTTTGAGGTGTTTTTAGGTGGCAGGAAACGCTAATCATAATGGACTGCATAGCACTTTACTTAGAATGGTAATCCCTTTGAAGCACAACCATGTAAAAGCTAGCTAAATCACTGTCCCTTAAAGCCACTGAACCAGTGACAGCAACATCCTCTGGATTCGTTTAGTTACGATATTCGCGACTACTAGGTTTTATGCTATTATTAGACAAAAAATGAATTGCAATAATCTGCATAATACCTAGTTTAGACGAAGAGGGAATCCGTAGTAGTTAATCCTAGGTGTGCACAGAGGGTGTGTGGAATCGTCAACTCACAAAAGCACATCGTTGATATAGACACCACAATTGTATTGGTTATCAACACCCTATTCAGACTTTCGGACGGATTTATAGGGTTTTTCAGTTTGATCAAAATCCGGGAAGCAAAGTTGAAATTTCCAAATCTCACTGGTGGACGGGGGTTTATAACACACAGGGAGCACTATTTCATGCACCGGCTGTCTGAGGTCCGCAATAGTGCGACCTTGAAGACTCACTCAGGTTTAATCAGCATGATTGTATATTGCTTGATTGATTGTATTCCTTCTCCACACACTACCAGAAATTATTTGACTTTTCTTAATATTATCTACAGAGCAGATGATGGGCTTAACTGAGTGATACGTCTGCTTTTTGTGAACATCGCACTGGAAGCGGAGTTGCTCGTTCTAAGATTAAGTAGGAAAAGCTCAACAGTAGCGGCAACCATAACGCCTTCTCACAGATTGTTTCTCGTACGTAATGTTACCGCCAGCTAGAATGATACTGGTTAGATAACTCTTGCATTCACTCTCCGAGAGTACTAACCTATACTCATCGTCTGTGCCTCGCCCACTAGCTTACACGCCATTCAACAACACGTACGCACTCGAAGATATAGCTACATATATTCACCAAGCTTTCATTGCGTGGTATGATATCAGTGCATTCTCATCAAGAAAGCTGTCAATGCTAAAAACTCGCGGATCTGAAACTCACAAAAAGCAATTAGCTGGAAGTGGTTGCCTGCATTCTAATCTTTAGGGTTTCAGGTTCGGAGAAGCAGCGGACTAAACACAAAATAATAACTGCCCCTTTCCAAATGGATGTACGGACAAGTACATTTCAAAGACATTTCCAGTTTGGCTGAAATATTTTGCTAATAAGAGGCCCAACTGGAGAAGTGGCGATACGTCATAAGCTCTAAATAAATAAACTTTGAGCACATATGAAAGAACAGGTTTGCGTCGAGATGGAAATACGGGTTGTCCGGGTAGCCAGTTTCAAGCCTTTCTCGAATAGACACAAGTCATTTTTGTGTAGATTAGAAAAGACGAATAGGAGCAGTGCATCGTGACGGAACTTATGCATATGCTCATGAGGAATAGTAGGTGGCACAGCTTTCCTGAGAAAAGTGAGCCTCACCTTTGAAAAGGGCTTTTACGCGTGAGAAGACGTAACTGTTGCATACAATGTGTATGTCACCAAGTTACCTAGTAACCAGATCTTCACTTATACTGCGGCAGTGTTGTTCAACGAGTGTGATTATACAGTCACGTGTTCGTTCTTTGATGCCGTTAAATTTCCGGCTCTCATGCGTGTCTGTCCTGTGAAAAGACCTCTGGAAATCACACCTGAGGCTTGCGTTTCACTTTGCTGATCACCGAATGGACAACGCGCAAGGGTTGCACAGAAGGCTTGATGCCTTTGAAATTTTTATTCCTGGAATTGAAGCCTGAAGGATTTAGTAGACAAAACAGCCTTATCAGGTTAGTGATTTCGTCATTACTGGTTGACCACAACTGTCTGAATTTTCAATCAACCAAATTTTCAATTTGGAAAGTAAACACAAACACAGTTGATCAGTCTGAATACCAGATGCAGGCTTTATTATGGTTCCGGCTTCGTTCTCGTCAATATGAGTAAAAGACAAGACTCATGTTGCGAAAAAGGCTTTATTGGTGGCTGGCTCTGAATTACACCTGCACTTCACATCTTTAGGGATTTTGAAATTATTCAAAAGATTTATCCAAG